GCCTACCAGAAAGCATTAAACACCAGTGGTTACAGCTACACACTCCACTACGAACCAACGCACACACAAAGTCGCAAGAACCGCCAACGCAACAACATCCTCTGGTACAACCCGCCTTTCACCAAGAACACCAGCACTAACATCGGACATAAATTCCTCGCGCTGATTGACAAACACTTCCCCAAAGATCATAAGCTCCGCAGAATTTTCAACAGAAACACAATCAAAATTAGTTACAGCTGCATGGACAATACAAAACAAATCATCGACAACCACAACAAAAGAATCCTCACCTCCCACGTAAAGACTAACGCCACCGCCACAACCGACACCTCTACCGCAAACAACAACAAGAAATGCAACTGCCGACAGAAAAACTCATGCCCTCTAGACGGAAACTGCCTCCAACAATCTGTCATATACCAAGCTACCATTACACGTAAAGACAACAGCACGACAGACACATACATCGGGCTCACTGCAAACGACTTTAAGTCGCGCTACAACAACCACACCTCATCATTCCGACACGCAAAACACCGCAACTCCACCGAACTCAGCAAACACATCTGGACACTTAAAGACAACAACATCAATTATTCCATCACCTGGCGCATCCTATCTTCCCACCTGCCCTACAACAGCTCAAGCAAACGATGCAACCTATGCCTTAAAGAGAAATTCCTAATCATCTGCCACCCAGACCTATCAACACTCAACAAGCGTAACGAACTCGTCTCTTCCTGCCGACACAGAAACAAAGCACTCCTACGCAACAGCTGACTTGACACTTTTCACACTGCATAAACCATGTTAATTAGCAATTAGTGTAATATATAAGCGATGGTATCGCATTATTCTGCCATCAAAATCCCCTGATGAGTGGACAACCACGAAACAGGTCTGTAGGGATGTATCTGTAGTTGTTTTTTTCCGACTACCACACATTATACCCGCTCTACTATTTGTATTGAGCACTGTTTCACGAACACCAAGCTTAATCCCTATATATAAATATATAGGTGCAACACTGCATCTCTGGATATCTTGTTTACTGATGCAGATTGCAAAATGAAAGCAACAAGCCAACGCAGCAAATTATAGTGATTACATCCCTCAACTGTTTATCCCCTTTTATTTCGTTTTTACAAGGTGAAGAGGAAACGCGGCTTGACCCACCAAGTTTAGAGATGAGCATTGAAAGTGTACGTTAAATGTTAACGGATATGTCAACTTTGTCTTTACAGAAACAAATTCCACGTTGGATATTAACTCATTCTCTAGATACCGTCTGCTTTGATAATCATTATTATAACATAACTAAAGTAAAGCGCGCGCTCTGATTGGTCAACGCTGTGATGTTTACCATTTGTTAACCCTACAAGCCTTGAAGCTCGAAGAGAACAGTGGGTCTTTGTTTATAAAAAGCAAATTGAAGCTTTATTTCTCGCAGAGATTTTCCATACATCGCTTTCTTTGTTCCACTTCATAGCTCAAAGTATTTAGCGTCTTTCTTGTCGTATTTTAGTACTCGCATTTTGAAGTACTGGGCTTCAATTTCTCCTGTGGACTCAGATGTTTTTATTCTAAGTCCATGTAAAGAGAACATTATAGTTATCGCATGCCTGAGCTAAATTTCTTCCTCTATACGTTCAAATTGAACAGGAACCTCAGCAATCACAAGGATCAATTGAGTCTGAGATTTATACAACCATTTCAGGTAGATATTGGTTTTACTGTTACGTAAACGGTAAGCAAACTCACCCCCAAACGTTTTTACCAAGCTAAAATTTCGAGACCTTATTACTGAAAAACGAATCGACCAGCCCACCTCACCGCACTTATCCCATTTGCTGTGATTATCCTAAGATCAACATTTCATTCGCAAAATGTTCGTGTATTATATTCGTGTAGAATATTCGTTTTTATTGGCCTTTAAGTTTTTGGTCCAAGTGTTCCATCGCAAATGTTATTAAATCCCATTAATTGAGTTTGGCCCAACAATAAGCGAGCTGGACGATGTTCTTTTCTAAGGTAAGACATTTTAATTACACAATGCCTTTCTCCCCTCATGAGTGTAAATGGTTTCTGGAGAACTGTCAGGGAAGCCGGACAAATAGCTAGGGGGTAGGGGGGTAAATGTGATAACCTAACATCCCATCCAGGAGGAGCAGGAATGCCTCTTGTCATTCTACAAAAACAAAGATAGGCCACTCTACACAAGTATAGACTTTACCTCTTACGTTGTCAACTCAGGCAAAGAACTGGTCATTACTTTCTTGTTTTGTTCAGAATACGGCGACGTTGAATCAACTTCAGGAACCATCTACTGTGAAGAAGACACATACCAGGTAATTACATTTGTCAAACTCACAATAATATCTACATCATTTATCATTGTTTCCAGAAATGAAATATTAAATGACAAAACAATTTGACTGTTTTAATACCATGGATCTCACTTAAATTATACATTTTTTATTTTATTATCATCATTATTGTTATTATTATTTTTGATATTATGATAATCTTCCTTATCATTATTATCAGTCATTATTATTATTATTATTATTATTAATATTATTATATGCACTTTGTGCACTTTGAATTTAATGTTATTCATTTATTGTTTAGCCTGTATGTGTAGGGTATGGTGCTCCTGAAACGCTTGTGGATCTACCGACAAATTATCAACAGGTTTGCCCAAACTGCTTCAAACTTTTAGCCAGCCCACTTATATTCTACGCCATTACTCGAAAAAAATTGTACAACTAAACATACCACTACCATTTGATAGTGGTAGTTGTAAAGGTGATATTAGTAGTGGTATATGGATAATGATCATATTAAACGCAATGATTATTATGTTAAAGTATGATAGAGATAATCGTAACAAGTGCAACATAATCAATGAGGCATTTTAGAACTCACTCAAGTTAAACTCGTTATGTTTAAGCTTTTTCATATTCACCAATGTAACTGTTTTTTGAATAAAGTTCAGTCGGATTGATCATTTTTACTGCTGGTACTGAACTGCTGACACCTTCTTTCATGCAGGATGCCATGAAAGAGAAAATTCCTGTAGGAGATAAACAACACTTGAGGAGACTTCTTTGTCTCAGCAATAGTTTTCTTCTTCCCATCAGTCGGATAGACCATTTAGATTCCCGCAGTCCAGTCGTTGACATTGTAAGTAATACGTCATCATTGGATGCATGAGTCAGCCGCAGCTTTATGAGAATATAAACCAGCTTTGCTCATCGACGATGTTACCAGGATTTAGTAATAGTAATCGTAATGTAGTTTATTTCTGACCACTTGCAGCCACGAGGCTGAATTACTGGTACAGTAAGGTTGAGAACAGACATCAGTATCTCAGGCGTCTTTGGCAGCCGCTTCAGTCCATGATCCCACCTTCCCACCCATCCCATCCCAGGGGAGGACATTCATCACACAGTAATCTCGTGTGTGGGAAATTAACGTCTCCTACCCCAGTCCTGTAAGAGACGGGACCTCCATTTATTCGTCCCTATCCGGGAACACAAGAATATCTAACCATTTCTTGATGTTATATAAAGGTAGCAAATTCTTCTCAGTTATTTTAAGACCTTGAGTGTTGGTCCTGCCGGGCTCGAACCCTCGACCTTCCGCATAACAGTCCAGCGCACTATCCTTTGGGCCATCTGGGCGTCGTATTCATTGGTCAATAAAGTCTTTAAAGGCACTACACAAGACCTCTTAAAAGAAGCCTATTCAAATTTCCCCTGTTTCAAATTAATTATGTTTGAAAGAGCAAACATGAGAGCGAAAAGCGAAAGAGATTATTCGACCCTTTTTCGTTTACTAATTCTTTCCTCGTCAGATCTCACCACGATCACCCCTTGGGAATTTGAAGGAATTTATCCTTAGCAGAAGATGTCCGTTGGAAAACATCGTCACTTTCCTCTGCCAGGTTGCCACAGCTCTACATTATCTTCACGTAAATCATATCGTGCACGGAGATCTTCGGCCTGAACACGTTTATGTGGTGGCTCCAGACCAGGTAAGTATTTTATAGTGAACACTGTAAAATTTGCTCTCCAGGATAGAGTCGATCGCCGTTCGAGTGTAGGTGAGCTTAGACGTATCACATTCAAGTTGATGAAATAACCACCTTATGCGGGAGATGCACCATAATTAAATTGGAAAAAAATATGAGATATATTTAGTATATTATGATTTTCTTCAGGTCCAGCTTGGTCGCCTCGGTCGCTCCAAATCTCTAACAATGAGTGCCTATGAAGCCACCAGCACTTCATGTGTCGTAGAGGCTGTCATGCCTCCTGATTCCACTCGTTGGTGAGCGTAAACTCGAAACATGATAATCTGTTCTCAAGGAAATATTAGTTTTCTACTGGGCGTCAACACCCTATTATAAGGCTATAATTGTGGAATTTGCATCCGCAACAGGTTCAGGTTCGATTACACAAAAATGTTTGAAGAGTTTTAGACCTGAATGACATAAAGTTGCGACAAAATGAAATATCTAGCCTTAAAGGAAATCCTCGTAAGGAAGTTAAAATATTTAAATTTACTTATTTTTATCCTTCATTCATTTTTTTATCCTTCATTCATTTTTTTGTAGCAATAAAAACAAAGTAGGTGTGTGCAGGTAAAATTAAATCGACTCCTAAGAAAGAAGTGGGAAAGCTCAACAGAAAGAGTTTAAGACACGATTGGTTTTCTTCCATGTTAGGAGCGCACCAGAGGTGATCCAAGATAGCCTCTTTTCTCACGCTAGTGATGTGTGGGCGTTTGGAATCTTAGCATGGGAATTGTACACTGCATTTGCAGCTGGACAACAGAATAGAATCGCTGCATTGCCCTACGGCAATATTCCAGCAGATAAGGTACGTTCATGCCTATAAGACACTCAAACCGAAAATAGGATCTGCCGAAATTAATTTAAATCTAACTAGAGTTTCAATAAAAGCCAGTAATTCAAAGGAGGATGAAATAGAATCAGACTTTGTTGTATCTGGATGGAGACTTAGCAAGATTTTTGATTCTTCAGATTCTAGATCATATGAAAGAAAATGGACCTCTTGATCAACCTAGCGGCTGTCCTTATTGGGTTTACATTCTAATGCATCAGTGCTGGACATATGAACCAGTGGAGAGACCTCCTTTTATTGCAATCATTGATTGTCTCTCAAGAAGGTATGATGCACTTTATAAGCGGATCAGAAGAGAGCGATTCTCACACTTGACTGCCTTAAAACTGACTACTTACCTTTCACTGACTCTAAGAGTCATCCTCTCAATTTTTTCCATCTGCTTCTTTTCAATTTCTTTTACCAGCCAATGATGCTAGTTGTGGTGAGGTATGATTTTTTTTTTCACCTGGATTTCAAAATTCTACTAACACATCTTGCACTTTTTTAAGGGAACCGATGTTGTCATGGGTGATGCAATTGTGGCTGAACACACATGAGAAGAGTGAATGGCCGGTTTTGTCAGTATCCCAGCCTGAGGATGCTATTCACGTGACAAACGCCGAGGAACACCCATCCAGAGAAGATATTGAGAAAATGTGCTCTCAAGGCTTTTTTAACCCTCACAAATACCTTTATGTTGATAGCGTTCGCCAAAACGAGACGGACACCGCTGAAGTATACGACTACGCCTACACAGATTCTCAGTTGCCACCACCGCCTGGTTCCCCTGCATTCCACCAGTCAACCCCAAGTAATTTATCTGATGGAGGGTTAAACGTTGCTGGCCAGTATAAAACGAACCAACCGCATAGTGCGACAGAAATGGTGTTCGAAGAACCTTCACATTGGATAATTACAAATGACGAAGGTAAGACTGATTCAGCTAAGAGCAACGATTCCTTCACTTCGCACCTTGAAAAATCCCACTCAGTTGCCAATGAGGACCAATGTCTCCAAAATCACAAAGATAGCGTAGCTGGCGTTTACTCGCTCTATGGTGATTCTAATTATAAGATATTTGTGGACGAACATTCTTCTGATCAAGCGACAGGTGGGGCTAGGGGCCACTCAACTTGTGATGAAAGTGCCAAGGATTACTCTGAAGAGGAGCAGATTTTGCATGCAGGCTACAAAGACTTTGCCTTAACCAGAGAGTATTGCATACCAATGAGAAATAACCAAGAGAAGCCAGAAACACCAGGTTACATCAACGTGCCAGCCAAGACCATTGCAAAAACACCAGGTTACATCAACGTGCCAGCCAAGACCGTTGCACAGCATTCCCAGTCAGCACACAGCAACGAAGGCACTGTCGTAGATTCCTATACGTGCGTGGACCTTCTTGGTCCAGTTTTTTGGCAAAGATCGACAGATATTGTTACCACAGAATCCTTTAGTTGCAACGAACATGACCTGGAGCACCAGCCAAGCTTAGAGTTACATGAAGATATTGCCATTCAACTTCTATTGAAGGATGCAGACATCCTTTACCTCAGAGAGGTGCAAAGAAGAAAATATGAAGAAAAACTACAGGAGAGTTGGTATCAAGACCAGAGTTCACCACTTCAGCAAGTACTCTTTCAAGAACATCTAGATGTGCATGCAAACGTTTCGACAAATTTGGATGTGGGCTTACGAAGTTCTATGTATGCAGCTATGAAATCCATCGGGTCAAGGTTGGTGGGCTGCGACACAGAAACTACCTTATAACTTTTTATCTATCGAAATAATTTCAGCAAGAATTTTTAATCAAGTTTAGTTAGAAGTAACGTTGTTCAGATTGGTGATTATAGTAAGGTGTGACCCGATTCTTTACCAATTACAGCAAAGACATTTTCTATGAAATAGTCATATAAAAGCTATATATTCACAAAGCAATGAAGAGAATAATTACAAGACTTCTAAGGTAGAGGATTGGACATCCGAGTTGTCTAGCCAGCCCCTACCTGCTTGAACGCCGTTTGACGTTCAAATAGCTGCTGGACAATAGAGACCTTAAGCACTAATGACGGCAACGGCGAAGAAAATGTCAATTAAAAAATGTCTCGATGTGTTTACTGTCTCTTGCGGCTCCATACGTCAACTTCAGTATCATCTTGGTGAGCGGGGCTAGGTTCCAGATTTAAACTTAAATAATTTGCCGTCGGTGTTTCCATTCCCGGACAACGTAAATTTTGGTGATTTCACGTTGTTGTTTGGCAGGAGACGGCTAAGAAATATACAACGTTTTAAAATAAACGTGCTGAGCTATTATAGATCTTTTGTTTTGCTACGTCTCCGTTGCCGTTGCGTCATGGTTTGCTTTAGGTCCGTAATACCTCTTTTAGAGCTGTTTCAAAATAACAGTGATAATGATAATATTTACAGTAATCACGTTGAATATGGATCATATTTGCAAACAAAATTTGAATTCGCTCTACTTTGGAGTAGAGCCAAATTTAGGGACCAGTCATATTCATCACCTGTACAGTAGAGGGGGGACGATGCCATGGTTTTTAGGGGCAATGGAGTTGGTGCCAGTCGTCGCAAACAGAGCACAAAGGGGGGGGGGCGCTATAGAAAAGTGAGTCCTAATTGGCTGCCATATCATATCAGAAGAATGTCGCACAGAGCCTGGGGGGAGGGGAATCGGGTAATTTTTATCCTGACAAAACCAAACTCCTCCCTCTCCCCCACTAGGCGAAGAATGATGACCGGAGTGTCAATCGCTATTAAAAGTCACATGCAAGAGCTAGATATCTGTCTATTTTCAAGTC